TGTCTCCAGTCTCTTCCCACTCTACTACACCCTTCACACAGTGGTCAAAGTGATTTGATTTTCTTTTCCTTTTTTTTTTTTTTTTGCTTTTTGATGAGGGAATTGGGATTAAGTGACTTGCCCAGGGTCACACAGCTAGTAAGTATCAAGTGTCTGAGGCCAGAATTGAATTCAGCTCCTCTTGACTCTAAGGCCAGAGCTCTATCCACTGCCCCACCTAGCTGCCCCCAAAGTGATTTTCTTTAAGCACTGGTCTGCTCGTGTAACTCAAATGTTTATTTATTGCCTCTAGGATTAACAAGTACACACCTCTGTTTAGTTTTCCAAAGCCTTTTACAACCGACCCCAACGTACTTTATACTCTTTATACGTTTTTCTGAGCTCAAGTCCTATCTCTGACTTATCTTGGCTACTTGACCTTGGGTGATTCACTTAGCCTCTCAATGCCCTAAGCAAATTATAAGACAATGTTCACACAGGAGGTGCTTAATAAATGCTTGTTCACTGATATAAGTTTCAGAAAAGGTGCTGAACTGCATTAGTGGAGGGAGTTTCCTCATCTGGGAGTTTGTCATATCAGTGAAGCTATAGGTCTAATCCCTATCCTTATTCTCATCCTACACTCTAGGTCCAGCCAAGCTGGTCTTCCTGCTATTTCTAACTCCTTATGCTTCATTTTCTGTCTCCTTGCCTTTGTTGTATTCCATGCTCTTCCTCCTCACCTCTTCCTCATAGAAGCCCTCATTCCCTTCAAGAAAAAGCTCATGATTTCTACATGACGCCTTTCTTGATGCCCCAACTGCTAATGCCTTCCCTCCCTAAACTGCTATGTACTTATTCTCTACATATCTATATCCATATCTATCTATCTATACACACACACACACACACACACACACACACACACACACACACACACACGTGTATGTAATATCTCCTCTGAAAGAATGTTAACTCTTTAAATGCAGCACTATTTCATTTTTGTCATGTCCCCAGCACCTAATAAGTATCTGGTACATAATAAGTACTTTAATAAACACTTGCTGATGGACTGACTTCAGGGTCACCACACTCTTCCTTGCTTCATCTCCGTTCCCTTCACTTCCTCCACAGTCTTACGCCCCAGAGCTCTGATCACTATTCTATATACATTCTCTTATCAATCTCATTCCCTCTTACTGCTTCAATAACCACCAGTAAGCAAATGAATCCTGAATCCAAAACTCTAGCTCTGACCTCTTTCTGAGTTCCAACTCACATTTTCAACTGTCTACAGGTGATCTCCACTTGGATGTCTCCTGGGCATCTCAGGCTCAACAAGTCTAAAACCAAGGTCATTATCTTTCACCCCAAACCTGATCCTTATTCTGACTCGATTCTGTCTGTGATGCCACCAAACAGCCAATATACCATTTTCTTACCCTTGGTGCTATCCTTGACTCTTTCCTCTCCCTCATTTTTCATACCCAATCAGTGACAAGTGCTGTCAAAAACACTTCAGCAATAATGGTTTTGGGGGGTTTTCTTGGCACAAAGGAGGGTTCACTCTGGGATTAGGTGTGGAAAATGACTACTACGTAAATTTTAAAAATGTCAATAAAACAATTTTTTTAAAAAATATCTCAGTGTATTAGTAATCAGAGAACTGCAAATTAAAGCACCTCTGAGGTTATACTTCACATCCATCAGATGGGCAAAGATGACAAAAAAGAAAATTTACAAATGGTTGAGAAGCTGCAAGAAAACAGGCTCCTTAATACATTCTTGGTAGAACTATTTGTAGACCTGGTCCAATGATTCTGAAAAGCAATTTAAAACTGTGCCCCAAGAGTCACCAAATTATGCATTCTCCTTGACTCAGCATTACCAGCACTAGATTTATACCTTAAGGAGATCAAAGAAAGAGGTAAAGTTCCCATACTCATGAACACGCGTATAGAAGTTCTTCTGGTAGTAGCAATGAACTGAGAACTAAGGAAGTGCCCATCAACTGTAGAGTGGCTAAATAAATTGTAGTTTATGAATGTAATGGAATACTGTTTCCAATGAATTGTACTGTAAGAAATGATGAAAGGGACAGTTTCAGAGAAACCTGGGAAAACTTGTATGAACTGATACAGAGTGAAGTAAGCAGACTGGGAGGATCATTTATACAATTACAGCATTATAAATACAACTTTGAAAGCTCTAAGAACTTTGATCAATGCAATGACCAATCATGATTCCACAAGACTGTTGATGAAGCTTGCTACCCACCTCCTGACAAAGAGGTGACTCACCTCAGGGGAGCAGAATAAGACATAATTTTTGGACACAGTCAATATGGAAATTTGTTTTGATTAATTATGCATATTTGCTATATGCATTTTTTTTATTATAAGTTGGGGCACATGGGATAGAAAAAAATTAAATGCTTATTAATTTAAAATGAAAATAAAATGAAAAAAAATCTCAGTGACATCTCTCACTTTGTTCACCCCTCATTATTCCTATTGCTTCAGGCCTACTTGTAGGCCCTCATAACTACCCACCTGGGCTATCATAAAAGTATTACAACAGATCTTTCCATTTCTACTCCCTTTCTCCTCCAATTCATTCTTTATCTTTCTATTAGAATAATTTTCTTCTTTTACTCATAGATCTGGATCATTCTTTTTTTGGCTAGGCAATGGGATTAAGTGACTTGCCCAGGGTCACACAGCTAGTAAGTGTTATATGTCTGAGGCCGGATTTGAACTCAGGTCCTCCTGAATCCAGAGCCAGTGCTCTATCCACTGTGCCACCTAGCTGCCCCTGGATCATTCTTATGTTCAAAAATGTTCAGTGGTTCTCCTTTGGCTCACTATGACCAACTAAAGAAAGTAGAAAATCCTCTTGTCTTTCACTCAAGGCTCTCCATAATTTAGCACTACACAAAGATTTCAAGACTTGTGTCATTCTATTCACTTCCATTATTGTACTGTCTATCCAACATGAGCCACTTCTTCCTTTTCCCTCCCAATACACTCTATTACACTTTCCTGTCATTGTTTATGCTATTCTTGCTTCTGGAATGTCTATCCCACTCCCCTTTTCCTGTTGAATTTCTGCAGCCCTTCAAAGCCTGTCTCAAAAGCTACCTGCTTCTTTCTCTGATCCTCCTGGATGGTAATGATGAGCCCTTATATACCTATTTGTTTTATAAATTTCCAATTATCAGTGTTTGTGGCTTATCCCTCTATTAGACTACAAGTTATAGGAAAGCAATGGTAATGTTTAATCTATATTTTGTATTTCAGGAAGCACAATGTTCTCCGTACACTGTAGGCATTAAATGAATGAATGACAGAAATATCCTCACTCTGACTCCTACTTCACGAGATGGGTAATTGAAAACTTTTCCACTTTCAAGCTCCTAGAGTTTACAAGGAGTTTGTAGGGTTTTTGAGGGACAAGGGTTCCAAGGTACACAGTGGAACATGGTACAGTGGGGTATTGGTACATTGGGTAAATAGTAGCATCACAGAGTAAAGTCAGAAGGAGGAGCAGGGTTGGAGTGAAAGATGATGAGCTTGGTTTTGGGCTTGAGATGCCTCAAAGACGTGCACATGTAGAACATGGTGCAGTGAGCAGAGGGATGGAAGGTAAAGAGGGTGAAAAAGAGAAATGATACAACGAGATTCGTTTCCCTTCCTCTGCTCCCCATCTCATGTTTCCTCTTTCCTCTTGCTGCTTCTGACCAGCACTGGGCACTGGGGTAGGGTAAGAGCTTAATTGTAGGCTCTCAATTGTAGATGGAGGTGGAGAGAGGGGAAAAAAGCAGAAAGGCCTTTCTTTTCTTCCTCATGGCCACCAACCAACAAGTACAAGTGTGCACATTCAGGGGTGGGGAAAGGATTGAAATGTTAGAATAGGAATTATGTATGTGTTGAGAAATGCAAATATTTGAGAATTAACTCTGTCATGCTAAGAAAGTTTACACAGGCCCATTCTAAAAAGGAAGGAGTTCCAGCAACATTTCCTTTCAGTGAACAAATGTCCTTGGAGAATACTTGATTTCACCTTGATGAACTTTGTACTGACAGTTTTTGATAACACAGGGCTTTATCTTCTGGGTTTGATCTACCCCTCCTCCCACTGCCAGGCTTTTAGAGAAAGGTCAGAAATATGTATATAATGTTATGTTAAGGTAATCAAGACAGAGGTATACTGTGAACTAAGAAAGCTAAGAAACTGGAAAACAGAAGAATAATTTTCAACATAAATCAGGTAACTTACATTAAAGAAAAGCTATTTGGGCAAGAAAATGAGTTGCTAACTATTCTGATATAAATGAGTAGTTGAATCAGGGTATTCACTTAGAAAAGAGAAAAATAAAAGAAAGACAGGGAACAGGAAAGACATCTGGCTGTAACACTGAATTAAGAAAAGTTCCCCCCTAACATAACAGCCCCCAAAACAGGAAATAGTATTATAAAAAGTTTCATACATATTAATCTTAATTATGGATATATTTTATAGGAAACCAGTTTAGAGAAGAAAAAAGGTAAAGGATTAGAGGAAGAGAGGAAATATTGAAATGAGATAATAAGAGTTTAAGTAGAAAAAAGAAAAATAATCTTTACTTCCTGCCATCAAATTTTCACAAATATTAATACTGAACCTAAGTTTAAAGCCTAGCTGAAGGCATTCCAACAATACAATGAACAGATGTATTTAGTTTATTATATAGTAAAACCTTTATATTGGGATGGGGCTCTATGTTCAGTGACAATTCATTTATTATTGTAGATAATACAATACTTTATAGTCATTATATTTCATCAAATACTTTATAGTCATTACATTTACTAACTGATCTGGATTGTCAAAGTTTCCCTTGGGGGATGAGTTATTAATAACATTTAATAAACGGAAAATTGAAATTATGGTTAAAACTATTGGTCATCACTAAGTCATATAGACAAAATGTTAAAAATTAGCCATTAACACAAAAGATTTGTTCACGTATTAAAAAATACCTTAACCTCCCGAAGATTCATGCATTCCTCCCAGGAATAAAACTTTCTTTTCATCCTAAGGAAGAAGAAAAGAACAAACAGTGTATTTAGTGAAAACAACTATCTATGCTTCATAAAAATTGGGAGTTTTCACTATAAACTGGACAAAGCTGACTATCCTTTCCAGGCTCTACCCAATGGAAACCCACAAAATGACCTCATCATTCTATATTGCTTTAAATTGTATTGCATCTTAAGGCCTGTCAATTCATTCTACTCTATGCCTCAAAGTATAGAAGGAGATATAGTGTGGCACAGTCCAATGAACTGGGCAAGGCAGGAGATCCAGGTTCTAGCTTCCACTCTGTCACTAACCAGCTCTTCAACTTTGAGCAAAGCACTTAAACCCCAGGGTTCTCACCTTTCTTATCTAAAGAGCAATGACTAGGGTGTGGCAACTATGACTTTGTCCTAGAACACCAACGCCAAAAGGGCACACTTCCTTGTGTTTCAATCTATTGCCTGGCACCAACCACACAAGGCCACAGGGTTCCCACCTCTCTCCTACCTCCATGTTGTAGCATATACCTATACTGTCTGCTTATTCCTAAGGGTTAATGGGGACTGTCCGTTTGACTTCATTCAACCAAGACAAATTGTTCTCCCCCTACACCCACCAACTGAATTTTCCCCTGGTGACAGAATTTCCAGTGATGGTTGTGCCCATCTGTGACATGAGGGGGATGACTTCTAAGGTCCCTTCTTGCTTTCACCATCTATGATTCTACTTTATTAACCAAGGTAAAGATTTTAGCAAGTCTTTAACAAAATCAGGTAGTCAAAATCACCTTTAGTTTTAATTATAATCATAAATAAATCTTTTATTCATACTAACTCAATGAATTAGGTCAATGCTGCCAGGCTAATATATGAGTTACAGGGAAAACAGGATGCCCTCAGGGTCATATTCTATAGTCTGGGTCTAAGGATAGGAGGTGAGACCTATACATTGTGGGTAACTAGGTGGCACAGTGGATAGAATACCGGGTCTGGAGTTCAAATCTAGCCTCATATACTTACTCGCTGTGTGACCCTGACAAGTCACTTTAACCTTGTTTGCCTCATTTTCCTCATGGCAAACCACTTCAGTATCTTTGCCAAGAAAACCTCAAATGGGGTCACAAAGAGTAGGATACAACTGAATAACAACAATAAAGGGTAGTAGGAGGCCTTGCTGCTCTAGCCAAGCTGGCTTGGCTACATCATTGGAGGCAATTGTCTGATAGTTGGTGCTGAGCGGTAACAGGAATGGGGGGCCCAGTCTCCACAAGTGTTGCTCCCCTGGATGATGGCTCTGGGAGTCAGACTAGAAGCAGAGGAAAGGAGCTGCTGCTATTCCCATGACTCGTGTTATGCCCTTACTAGATAATATTGTGTCTTGTACCTAGTTCTCTGTGTGGATATTTAGATTGTCTTTTACTAGACTATTGGTTCTTAGTGGGTAGAGATCATATTTTATCTAAACTTTATACATCCTCCAGCACGTACCTCAGACTCTGCCCACAGGAGGTATTTAGCAAACGCTTTTTGAGTTATATTGTACTGTTGTATTTGTTATGTGATAAAAAGGTGTTTGTAGCAAAAAGACTTTCTACTTTATATGAAGCTAAGCCTTTTTTCCCCTTCTCCAATCTTTCAGCTTTCTTATGATCATAGATATAGAATTGGAAGGCCAAAGAGTCCAACTTCCATTTCATTTTACAGAGGAGGAAACTGAAACACAGAGAGGTTAAGTGACTTGCCCAGGGTCACATAACTAACCACAATAGATTAAATTTATATGGCACTTTACAAACATCACCTTATTTTATCCTTACAATGACCCTGGGAGGTAGGCTGTTTAGTTATGCCCTTTTTACAGAAAAGGAAACTGAGGCAGGCAGGGGTCAAATGATTTGACCAGAGTCACAAAGTTAGTAAGCATCTGAGGCTGAATTTCAACTTTCTTTCTTTCTGACTCCAGCTCTACTGTTCCACCTAGCTTGCCTGATAACTAGTAAGTTTTTGAGATTTGCTTTAAACCTAGGCCTTCTGGACTCCAAACCTTCTTACTTGCTTAATGCACAGTTATATTCCTTGTTTTTGTTTTTTTGCTGGGCAATGGGGTTAAGTGATTTGCCCAGGGTCACACAGCATGTAAATGTCAAATGTCTGAAGCGGGACTTGAACTCCGGTCCTCCTGACTCCAGGGCAGGTGCTCTCTCCACTATGCCACCTAGCTGCCCCTACAGTTATATTTCAAAAGCAAAATTTGATCTGAGGACCAAACTTCTGATTTCTTCATTCTAAATCCTCTGTAGACAAAGGGGAAGGCAGTAGTTACCCTACTAAGCCTAATCTCTAAAAATAGAATCTTAGCTCTCCTTTCACTGTTACTTCAAATGAAATAAACAAATATTTGTCAAATACCTTTCTGTTTATAAAGAATGGTGATAGACACAGTGGAGGACAGGAAAAAAGTGAACTACTTCAGGGTGTTTGCTCACTGTCACTGAATGCAATAAAAGTAATCTACCTAGTAAGTGTGTTACACACACACACACACACACACACACACACACACACACACACACACACACACGTACCAGTAAATGTACCCAGCAAAATAATCTATCCACGGCAACTAAGTGGATAACAGAACCAGACCCGAAGTCAGGAAGACTCTTCCAGAGTTCAAACCTGCCTCAGATGCTTAATAACTAGGTGACCTTGGGCAAGTCACTCAACCCGGTTTGCCTCAGTTTCCTCATCTGTACAATGAGCTAGAGAAAGAAATGGCAGACTCGTTGCCAAGAAAGCCCCAAATGGGGACACCGAAAGTCAGGCAGGACTGAAAGGACTCAACAACAACAAACAACTGTTGTGACCTTGGTCCAGTCACTTATCCTTTCCTTGGGCCTCAACATCTCATCTGTGAAATAAGGGGATTGGATAAGATGGTCTCTGAGGTGACTTCCAACTCTAAATTCTTGATCCTATGAGGATGATAAATGATAATAATAATAATTGATATTTTCACAGCCCTTTGAAGTTCCCAAAGATCTTGTTCCTTACAATAGCCCCACAGAAGATATACCATAGGCATTCTTTTTTCCATTATACAGATGAAAAAAACTGAAGCTGAAAGAAATTCATGGGATTGTAAGATTACAAATACAGAGGTGGACTTTAGAAGTCATTAACTTCAATTCCCTCATTTTGCTGATGAGGAAACTGAAGCCCAGGGGACTTTCCCAAGGTCATACAATTAAATGTCAGTAAGCAGGATTTCAACCCAAGTGTCCCAATGGCAAGCCTAGCATTTAAAAATCGAATTTTCTCCTTTCCATCCTACAGGATCAAATCAGCAATGTTTTTGATGTAAGTCATATGGGACAATGATCAGGGTTCCAACTTTAATTGCGGACCATATTTTAATATAGATTGATAACTAAAATCACATATGTTAAGTCATAAGAGACTAGAAAAATTTCCACTATGTTGAGTGCACTCTAAAAATTAAAGGGCCATCATTATCTCCCTCAGTTTTACATCTCTTTATTTTCCTTCTCCTTCCTCCAACCCAAGGGTTCAGCCTTGTATTCAATAAGACTAAGGACTAAGGAGTGGAGATATGTACTTAATAATAACAATAGCTATCACTTATATAGTGCTTTAATGTTTGCAAAACACCTTACAAATATCTTATTTTATCCTTAGGAGGTAAGTAGTGTTATTTCCCCCACCTTACACATAAGGAAACTGAGGCAGACAGAGGTTAAGTGATCACACAGGTAGGTAATGTCTGACCTCAGATAAGTGAGACTCAGAACGTAGCCTATTATCATGCAGGTAGGAAGTGACAGAGCCAGGATTTGAACTCAGGTCCTCTGATACCAAATGACATTGCTTTTCCCACTGTACCTCACAAAGTTGGCTTCCACCATCTCTGATCTATGGATTAAGACAAGAGATACAAAAGCAGAAAAGAGGAGGGGAAGGTACAGAATGCTTTACTTTATTTTGGCCTTTCTTTCCTTCTTCCAATTCCCACTCTCCTTCATTCATTCATTCAACAAACATTTACTGATGTAAAACTAGGGGAGATAATTGACCTTTAATTTTCTTAGAGCCACTCAATACTCTGAGAATTTTTCTTTCTAGTATAAGTTTTCCAATACCTAGGCTTCATTTCAAAGACGAATTTAAGATATTTCCCCCCACAAACCATAATTAGACAGTGTAATGAAGTGACAGTTAGCCATCACTCAGGAAGATAACATAATCCTATAATGCTGACATTAATGTGTGAAGATTTAAAAATCTAATTTTGTATTTTCCATGAGATAAGGTTCCTGCTGCATTCAAGATACCACCCTAAGCAACGAGGGGTCTACAAAAAATGAATAAGACAAGGTTCCCTGACCTCAAGAGGCTCCTGAGAGTTCAAAGATTATTCTCCTCTTAAGACATGACATGAAGAAAGTCATGGAACTGAGAGGAGATTGAATCCAAGGGCAATGTCCCTAGGGTGGGGACCACAGAGATATACATTAACCTCCTTCCTTCCCTCTCTCTTTTCCTGTATTCACCATCAGCATTCTCCTTATCCCTAGTATCTAAATGATTATTTTTCCTTCTTCTGAGGGCAAGTACATAAGGGTATAGCTGGTGGACCTCAGGCCTGTTTATAAGGTTTTCTTGACAACAGTGCTCCAGAAATAGTTACAAAGAACCCACTTAAGGAGCCACGATCCATGCCACCCCCAGTGGAACGAAGTCCCAGTGTCGTTTCTTCCCTGATGAGCCTCAAAGTCTTTTGTGGTCGGTCTATGGAGTGAAGAAGTTTGAGGTCTGCTCCAAAAGAGCAGCTGGCTCTCATTTTAGACCAGCCAACAGAATTCCTAGTATGTCGAGTCATTTATGGAGGGGAGGGAGAACGGCAACTTACTTCAGTCCGGCCTGTGAAAGCTAGGAGTGAACCAAGTCTTCTTCAATCCTCTGTAACAAATTACAATCCTAAAGATTTAACTCAAGAGACTCTGTTACCAGGAGCTAAACTCAGGCTGGAGTGGACCTGAGTTCAGATCTACCTCTGATGGCTACTTACCTACGTGACTTTGAGCAAGTCACTTAACCCCCATGTGCCTCAGTTTCCCTATCTGTAAAATGAGATAAACTCAGGCTGGAGTGGACCTGAGTTCAGATCCACCTCTGATGCCTACTTATCTATGTGACTTTGAGCAAGTCACCTAACCCCCATGTGCCTCAGTTTCCCTATCTGTAAAATGAGAGGGTAGGAACATATGGTTTCTGAGATTCCCTTCCAGCTCTAAATCTATCACCTTCCTTCTCTGACATTCTATGATTCTGTTTCTGGGGTCTAGGAGATACCTCCTATTTACACTGTAGATATATCTTGTATGTCTATAATTGTTTGCATGTTATCTCCCCCATTAGCATGTGAGCACCTTGAGGGCAGAGATTTTGTTTTTCCCTTTCTTTGCATCCCTAACCCTTAACACAGTTCCTGGAACACTGCAAATGCTTAATAAATGTTTGTTGATTGCTGAATGATTGATTAATGTCGAAGATGGGAGAAAACAAGTATAGGATTAAAAGTTTTTTGGCATGCGCAGTTGGGGATCAGAAGATTTAGAGCTGGGAAGAACACAGAAGAAAATCTATTGAACCCCTATCATTTTACAGATGAAGAAAAGGAGACCCAGAATGGGGAAGTAAGTGATATTCCAAGTCACACAGCCACTAAGGGGCAGAACCAAGCCTCAGACCTAGAATTGATTCCAAATTCAAGTGCTCTCCTCAGGCAGAACTGCAGAACTCCACTCTGCATGAATCAGGATGGGAGCTGGCACTGGTGGGGAGGGTGAGAGTCGTTGGCTTCAGTAGGGAAGGTGTAAAACTTACTTTTTTATGGCAATCAGCTCTCCAGACTCAATACTTCTTCCTAGGAGGACAGAGCCATAGGTTCCATCACCAAGCTGCTTGATTGTCGTGTATCTATGCATGGTGTGTCCCTTCTGGCTTTATATTCATCTCAGTCCTGAGACTGCTCCTTCCTGTCATGGACACAGTTCTCCTCAGAACGTAGCCACACTTTTCGGTGACAGCACCAGCACAAGGTATTCGAGATGTCGTGACAGTCTCTCAAATACATAGTTTCAAGGCTCAGTCTTCTGCCTGCCGTGAAAAAGGAAAGATGACGATGAAGTCTATCACATTTTTGGTGATGTGGATTATGAGTCTTTTTGTTTTTTAACAGCCAAATAAAGTCCTTTTTCCATTTTTTACTAGACATACTAAGATGTGGAGAAATAGTATGCATTTTTTCACTGACTCAATAATGAATTGGCTCCAATTCAATGTTTTTTTGATGACTAACACGTTCTGTGCAGGCCCAGCCTGTCAAATACACTAAGTGAGAATAGCTTTGTGAAAGGGAGCTAAGTTTATCAATGTAAACATACAAGCCCAGAAGAGCTAAATTTAAAGTTCTCAGACAAGATTTTGAAGGCAATTACCCTCACTGCACAAGCTATTTATGGGTATATATGCAGGATGACTTTTACTATTAGACACTCACTAGCTATGCAACAGACTAGAAATTTAAGAACTGTGGCTAACCTTTCAGATGCCTCTGATCAAGTTGTCATCATTTGTGAATTTGGGAGAATACATGTCCCAAAAGTCCTACTGTCGTTTTAAGCTTTAACAGTTATTAATGCAGAAATGTTTTGCATGACTGTGTATGTATAATGGGCATCATATTTCTTACCTTCTCAATGGGTGGGAAGAGAGTGGAAGGAGGGAGAAAATATGGAACTGAAAATAAAAATAAAATGAAAAAAATAATTCAGATAAAAAAATAAAAATCAATCAAAAAGCTTTAATAAGTGATTAAGCTACTTAATAGCTACTAAGACCAAAAATCTTAGTGCAGTTTTAAGCTTTAATAGCTATTAAAGCTTAAAACTTCTCTAAGAAAGTATTTAATAAGTACCTACTACGTATCAGATACTATACTAAGTACCTTACATATATTATCTCATTTGATTTCCACAACAACCCTAGGAGGCGGGTACTATTATCACCATTTTACAGCTTAGGCACACAGAGATTAAGTGATTTGTCCAGGGTCAGCTAGTAAGTACGTGAGTCTGGATTTGAATTCAGGTCTTCCTGACTCCAGGCTCAGCACTCAATCTACAGGGTCACCTAGCTACCCAAAAAACTTTTGGGATCCCCTCTGTACTGGTCTCCCTAGAGGCAGTAGGCTGTGCACTTGAAGTCTGGACTTATTAATTTAGGGTGACCTTATGAAAGTCATTTAACATCCCTTAGGCTCAGTTCTCTCACTTGGGGATAATAATACTTAGACTTCCTATCTCCCTGGACTCTTGTGAGGAATGTATTTTGCAAATAAGTTGTTATAAAAATGTGAGTTATTATGTTTGAAGAGGTAGAAACATCAGTAGTAATAATTCATTGAAATGGGCTGAGGGCAGCTAGGTGGTGCAGTGCATACAGTCAGGAGGACCTGAGTTCAAATACAGCCTTAGACACTTGATGCTTACTAGCTGTGTGACCCTGGGCAACTCACTTAACCCCACTGCCTGGCCCTCCCCCCAAAAAAGAAATTTGATATTATAGTAGAAAAGTTACTGAACTATATTATATATACATATACACATATTTTTTTTGACCCAGAGATACTTCTACTGGGCTTATACCCCAATGAGGTCACATATAGAGAGAAAGGTTCCATATGTTTTTTTAAAAAATTGTAGCAACACTTTTTGTGGTAGCAATGAAATGGAAGGATGGTGAATCACTAAACAAATGGTGGCATATGAATTTAATAGATTATTAGGCTGAGAGAAATTATACCTATGAAGAATTCAGAGAAACTTGGAAAGAAGTACATGTACTAATGCAAAGCAAAGTAAGCAGATTCAGGAGAAAAATTCACAGTGACCACAATAATGAAAAGGAAAAGAATACTGAAAGACAGGAGTACTCTGATCCCTGCAAATGACTAATCTTGACTTTCCTGACTAACAGTGAAATGCACCTCCCTCTTCTCAAGAAAAGTCATAAATTCTAGGGGTAGAATATGGCACATGTTCATAGGGAATATGCTGGTAAATGTTTAACAAATGGCTCTCAGTAATATATTATGACACACTTTAAAGTTTAATCAGCATTATTAACAATTTCTCCATCACTTTCTTAAATCTAGACAATTAACAAAACAAGAAATCAAGCCCTGATTTGTAGCATTTGCTGATTTCCAAGGTACTTCTTTACACTGAAAATTTAACAAGTTGCTCTGTGAGCTGGCTCCCTGCATATATTAGGCACGGACAATGTATTGTTTTGGTATTGCTTAACTAAACTATATTTCTTTGTAATAAGGAAGGATCCTACGGGGGTTAGAGGGAAGTTCTTTGGGAAATGAGTCATCTGAGAAAGAAAAAAGCATAAAAAATTTATTTGTCTGTTTTTAATAAGAAGGGATAGGACTAGAACTGGGTTTTTTGAAACTAAACTTTGTGAGGGCAAGGACAGTGTCTTAGCTAAATTTTGTATAAAGAATATAGTAAACATTTGTTGAATATTTAAATATTGCTAAATAAATAGATGAGCCAAACTCAGTAGATAAAGCTGGAGCTGATAACTCACTATCTGGAGGTTTTATGATCTCATCGATATGGAGACTCCCCCTGCCAATGTCGATCACGATTTATCCATGCTTTCTCATTCTGGACGACTTCTGCCCGTGTTCTTCTATAAATCCTCAACATGTCAAGTGTACTAATTAGGTAAAAATTCCATTTTTTGCAATATGTAAGGATATAAAAAGGGCAACTGAATATGACCAGCAACTAACTAGGATAGGGTATGGAGTAATGGAAAGTTTAAGGAAAAACATATCCTATACGTGCTCATGAGTAGTATTCAGTGTTTTATATATAAAAACATATATATGTGTGTGTGTGTGTATACAGACACATATATATATACATACATACGTATATGTGTGTGTGTATACAGACACATATATATACACATACATATGTATATGTGTGTGTGTGTGTATATATATATATATATGCTAGAATCAAAATGATAGGTAACTTTTATGGGCATGCTTATTGAGCCAATGAGCTAACAGTTTTAAGAAACTAATAATAACAATAATAAACTGGCTGAAGTACGTGACGACATATGCCTAGATTTTTTGTCCCTGTGCAACTAAGAGTGACCAAAGACTACCATATACTTTCTCACTTATTTCCTACCTGAAGAATCATTAGGAGCTTAAAATCTGTGCCCTGTTTCACAATGTTGAAACAAAGAGTAGGAAGTGTTCTTAAAGGAACATTTGGTTCAGCCCTCTGCCCTCAAGCAGATGAATGTCCAAACCAGGTAGGAAAGAAAGTTGCTTATTCTTTTCTTGAAATTCTTCAGGGATAGAGGCCTCTCTGTTTTATCTCGGTGGGCGAAAAAAAAAAACCTTCCTCATATCTAACCAAAATCTGCCAGTCTTTAATTTTAAGCTAATTTCACGGCTTGGGACATCTGTTCAGTGGCCCTCTCATGAAAACTTTTGCTTACTTGAGACCAGTAATCAAATCCCCTAAGCTTTCTCTTTTCTAGGATAAATAGTTTTTCTTCAAAGGACTTGTTTTCCACCCCCATTGTTCTCCTTGTCTCATTTGATGGGACTCTGGTTCTTCTCATCTTTTTGGAAGTGCCAAAAGTAGACTCACTACTCTAATTAGAGAGTCTGAATAATATACCTCATATTCCCTGTTTCAATACATCCCAGTATCACATGAGGTTTTTACACAATGACCCCACATGGCTGATTCATAGTCAGTCAACTATTAACTTATTTTTCTTTGATCCTTATCTCAAGTCACTTGTTCACCCGCTAAAGAATAGTAGAGTGGGTTGATATTTTCCTAGCTCATAAATGAAAGAGAGACTTTTGAGATAAAATTAAAAGTCTTACTGACAGGTTACATTCAATGCCTTTCCTCATGTTTGGGTGGAGGAGGGGTAGCTAGCTGTTCCCTGTGTAAAAGATGTGGGAGTTTTAGTGGTTTACAAGCTCATTATGAGTCAAGATTGTGACATGGCAGCCAAAAAAGCCCCCAGTGCAATCTTGGCCTGTATTATGAAAGGCACAATGTTCAGAATGAGGGAGATGGTGTACTGTGCCCCAGTTAGACCACATCTAGAGTACTGTGTTTGGTTCCAAGCACCATATTTTAGGAAAGCCATCGGTAAACCAGTAATGGATGCCAAGATTGGTAAACAGGGTGGTAAAAAGACTGTAGACCTATGGCATACAGGGATCATTTGAAGGAACTAAGGATGTTTAACTCAGTAAAGAGAAGACCTAGGGGCGTGACATATATTGTCTTCAAGTATTTGAAGGGCTGTCACATGAAAAAACAAGGATTAAATTTGTTTTATTGGGCCTCAGAGGGCAAAACTAGGAGTGATGGGTAAAAATGATCAATTCTTTGCAATAAGAGATTTTTTTTAAACTTCTATCTTTAGCTCATAGCCAAGTGCTTGCAACATAGTGTTTAATAAATGCTTGTTAGTTGACTGATTGAAGACCACAGCTTCAGTTCATTCCAATCAACAGCATCTAGGACAGTAAGTACTCCTAACCCATGGTTTTACTTTCCTTTTGGCCTCATTCTTCTTAGTCCATTTTTTGGAACATGTGATGATGGTCAGCAAAGCTTAGGCTTTGGGTATTCACACATAACCTATAATACTGAACCTATTGGCAAGGAAATCAAAAGATAACATATTTTGGTAAATATTCTCTATCTTTTTGACACCTATGTAATGGATGATCCCTACATTTATATTAACAAGAAAGCATAATAAATGAGCAATGATACACAAAAAAATGACAAAAATTCATTACATACTCAAAAGGAAAAACCAAGCTCTACATCACAGAAATTCAAAGTTTCATGTACAATCCTCTTCTGTCCTACTATTTAAATGTGGAAATGGGAACTCAAAGTTTTAAAAATGAATGTTAAAATTTGGTTTTACATGTAACAGGAAAAATAAAATACTAAATAAAAACAGGTGGAAATATTATTTTACTTGGTGTTTAAGTTCAGAGTAAAATAAAAGGAAGAGAGGGTGAAAAGAATGACCAAAAGTTGAGACATATGCAGGTATCCAATATTTTAGATGGTTCAGGGGTGGGGAACCTTTTGACCTCAAGGCCACATGTGGCCTTATAGGTCTTTGGCTGCAGCCTTTTGACTGAGTTCAAGCTTTATAGAACAAATCCTTTTATTAAGAGGATTTGTTCTGTGATGTTTGGATTCCATCAGAGTATCACACTTGAGGACCTAGAGGGGAAACGTGGCCTTCAGGCCACAGGTTTATCTAAATGCTGATTTCTCCATTTTGTTTCTAACTCTAACCCTAGGCAGCAAGCTTAACAAACAATTACACAGGACAAGCGGCATGTCATCTTAGAGCTGTATCATCCCCCCACCTCAAAAAAAAAAAAAAGAGCCAATCAAGTGAAGGGAGCCCAGGATCACTGATAAACAATCATGGTGCTCCAGTGGTAGCAACACATTATCAATAGTCAGCATAAGTTAACAAGTATATATGAAGTATCTACTATGCACTGGGCACTTTGCTAAGTGCTGAGGATACAAAGAAAGGCAAAAACAGACCTCACCCTTAAGAAGCGCATAATCTAATGGTGAGACAACATGCAGACAACTACGTGCAGATAAGGTATATAGAGGATAAACTGGAGATAC